TGGCATGAACTCCACCTCATAATTGGGAGTTTTCCTTGAATTCTGGCAGGCCACAGCAGAGAAATAAAAGGTGCTTCCACTGGGGGAAAAAATTCCAGCAGACTGTGTGGAAAGGATGACTGCTCAGAGCAAATTAAATTTAGAATGACAGTTGGCAGCCTTTTTCCTGCAGTGAAGCTGTAATGGCACAAACTAACATTCAGAAACCATTGCAAAACACAGCACAAAATCCATTTGGGACCTGGCAGCAGTGCATGCAGAAACATCAGCACCTTGGCTGTCACTATTCAAAAAGAAGCACGCTTTTAACAGCAGGTGTTGAATGTCCTTAGCATAGTACAGTGAACACCTATAGCACAAACATGGGAAGCTGCCTGATGCCCAGTCAAACTGGACCATCCAGCCTCGGACTGCAGCGGCTCCTGGGGGCTTTGGACCAGCATCTCTTCTAGCCCTTCCTTCCCAAACGGCAACCTTCTGCATGCAAAGCTACACCCTCTTGCTCAGCTATAATCCCTCCAGAAAGGAAGAGCTGGTGCACACAAACATAGGAGGCTAGCAGGGCCAGCTCTAGGATAAGGCAGAGGTCACCATGTTGTGGCTGATTTAAAGTGTTAGGAAAGGGCAACGAAAGGTTATTTCTTCAAGGTATTGTTGCACATGAGAGTGGAGGAGGTGCTCATGGGATTTTAAGCCTCCGGTGCCAAATAACCGCATAGGCCCTAGGTCCTATGATGGCCAAGGGGTTTGGCCAACCTGCTACTCGGCGCTTTTAAGTTGAGGGGCACAGACTGAATCTGGGGCCAGGGATGCCCATTCCACCGACGGTTTTCTTCCACAAGTGACATAACGCCATTAGATACAGCCCTCAGTATTTTGTGGCCTTGGAGCGTGGCTCAGTCCTCCTTGGCTGCCATGGGATTTGATTTCAACCTTTGGTTTCTGTCCTGCCTCAGTTAATGTTTGTACTGCTGCAAACCTTGGCTTCATCTCCAACATGTCAATAGGCATTTCGGCTTCTCTGCCATCTGCATGCAATGGCTGAGCTTTGCTATCAATTAAATCAAACTAATTAGGCTGTAGCTTCAAGTTAGGTACTGAACAAGGCTGGGAGTATTATGCACAGGAAGGGAGATTGGCTGAGAATTCAGATGGAAACAAATAATTACCCAGCAGAGTGAAAGGTAGCGAGCTATTAGTAATCTACTAGCTGTGTAAACTGAAGGGTTCCAGGTTCAAATCCATGACAGTTGGGAGTCAGCCACAGGCTTACCACAGCAATGCATCTGCCAAGGAAGATGACTGACTGGCCAAACAGCAAGCGGCATGAACCCCTCTTGCATGAACGGCTGCTTCAGCTCCTCAGAAGCATGCTGGAGTCACCTGCCGGCGGTCAGAGCAGACAGAGTCAGCGCCCGTGTTCCTCCAGAGCAGCGGCTGCCTCAGCTCCATGGGTAGGTACACCAAAGCAGTTCCTACTCATGCTGTGGCCACTTACTCCTCACCTTTGCCAAGGGGGAAAGGCAGGCGGCTTTTAGAGCTGCTGCTTCCAGGTCCAGCACCTTGAGAAGGAAGACTCTCTTGAATCTTGCTTACTCCTCCCATACCCTTCTCTGGGGCATCCATCAGGGGCTGGCCAGGCAGGGCAAGCCTCTGGAGGCCACTGATTGCTCAGTGCAGCCTCTTACAGGAAACAGAGAGGAGTGCGCTCACAAACAGACCAGGTTTCACACAATTTGAAATAATCCTTTGCTTTACCCAGAGAAGCTGTAAAGCAAATTATGCAGCTGTCAGATTGCACCCCCTACCCACCCACCCGAGAGAGGCGACAGGCACTGGCACTCCTAGGCACAGCGGTTGTCGTGCTCTCTGAGTAACAGCAACCCCAGGAATGAATGCCGTGCCCTTGACCCTCTGCTCAGCTCTAGTCAACTCAAGTCTGTGGTTTCCTGCAGGGCATTGCCTTGAAATACCCCCACCCTCAGCTTCACACTGTATCACCTGCAAAGCTGGTTGGTGGAGTCTGCCTCCTAGGAAACTAATACGATTCTGCACATTTCACACACACAGTCTTGCTCAAATTAAAATTAATCCACTGGAGAAACCAATATCCCCAAGGTACATACTCCCAGGCACCCCTTAATATGAATGCTATGTTTCTGATGTCTAGGTTTCACTGCCTTAGTAAGTTTCCCAAAAGTACAAAGCGGAGGTGGAATATAGGACTTTAAGCATGTATTCTAAGAATCTTAAGGTTCGGTTAGCCCATGTGGGACCCAGAAGCCCTCCTACACTAGAAACATTCAAGGTGCAGCTGGAAAGCCATCTGAGGGGGATGGTTTAACTTGGAGTACTGGACTAAGCAGCAGGTTCAGTTAGATGGCTTTCCTGGCCCTTCCATTTTACTATTCTATGATTCTAGATTCTTAAAATCACTGGACGCTGCAATTGCATGAACACTGGAACTGCATACACACAGACTCTGTAGGTAGTACTCGGAGAGAAGAGGCTTCAGTTAGAGCTTGTTTAGGCATGTTACTGCAAAGAGGATGAATACTTACACAACCAAGAAGGGCTAGTTTGTTTGTGCCACAGTAAAAATATTTTGCATCTTCACAGTGTTGTGTATCTTGTGTACATCAAGTGGTAGCTGTGCCAGTGAAATCCAGTTCAATTCCAGTTGCAACATAACAAAATGTGGAAAAGCATCAACATTTCCAGCTCATATGGGTGTCAGCAGTCTGCCCAGTTCTAATCTGCTCTCCACTTGGCACAGGAGTAGCTGAAAAGGGCGAGATGTCGAAAACAAGAGCATCCCCCATATCTAGATGTACGAGCTGCTGTGTTTGCTTTTCCTAGATTTTAGATCACTCTTCTTCTACTGCAAAGGCTCTCAAATCAGCTTACCAACGATAAATTAAAAACATCACAGTATCATGGAATGCATTAAAAGTTAACCAGCTGTGTAATAAAAACACAATCTCTTACAAAATCACATAGGAGCAAATAAATATAGATTGACGAGGTAATTATTCACAAAAGCTTGGTGGACTACCCATGCATTAAACCAAACATCTAGAATTTTCTCAACAGTTGTCTGAGGAGAAAGTTCCACAGAGGAGAAATTTTAGTATTGCAATGCTAGAAGTCAGCCCTGGGGGAAATTGCCATCAGAACACAGCTGTCCTATCTCATCTCTGAAGAACATGAATCCAAGCTCTTTAAAGGGAAAAGATACTAATAGAAGCAAACACATGTTCAACCACGAATCCATGCCAGCATGATTCAAAATCCAGCTCCAAAATGGATTTCTTTGCATGGCAGAGGTATGCAACACTTGGCCCTTAGGCCGCATCCAGTCCCCGATTGTCCTTTACCATTGCCAAACTTTCTGTGGTCACAGAAAAAGTGGCAATTTTGCTGGAAAACGGTGCGTGGAGAGTATGCACTCCCTGCGTGTCTTGTTCTTAAGTAGAATTGCCACTTAGTTGCCACTGCAACAGTGGAGAGGGGGCAGCTACTGGCGAGTTCTCTGGGAGAGGTAGGAAGGTAGCCCCCTGACATCCATCGGGTTTCCACCCTGATGCAGGGTTTTGATTCCCTGCCTGAGCAGCAGCTCTCTTGACAGGTGGAAGGAGAGAGATTGCCAGCAGCGGTGGTCATTTTGCATGCGAAGCACATGCTCTGCCACTGAGCCACGGCTGCTCATTCTATGCTGCACAAAGGCAGCCCCAAGGGTGCAGTCCATCACAGTCATCCAACCATGGTAAGGTTAAAACTCATGCAACCACAGCCAAGCCCATCATCTCCAGAAACAAGTGCAATGGGCACCTCAGTCCAACTGGGGAAAGCCAGTCCTGCCCAGACTGATCACCACATGATCATTCAGGAGTAGCATCAGGCCAGGAACATTCCCAGACTGAGAACTAGATTCTTCAAGGGGAGCACAACTCCATCCAGAAGACCCTAATAACTGCGAGCACTTCTGACTTGTCTGGGTTAGGCTACAGTTTTTTAGTCCACATTAACTCCATGTCTGATTTCAGGCACCAACTTTGGGCTTCATGGCCTCTTGTATTCAGGCTGTCACAAAGAGGAAGGTCAAGATCTCTTCTTGCTGATGCCAGAGTGTAGGGCACGGAATAATCAACACAAGTTGCATCAACCAAGATTCAGGCTGGACATCAGGAAAAGCTTCCTCACTGTCAATACGACAGTGGAACCAGCTGCCTAGAGAGATGGTGGGCTCTCCCACACCAGGGACATTCAAAAAGAAACTGGACAGCCATCTGAGACGGATGGTGTAACATGGTGTCTTGCAACAGCAGGGGGTTGTTGGCTTTCATGGCCCCTTTCAACTCTATTATTCTATGACTCTGTGATAATGACAGTGCTGAGTATCATCAGCATACCAAGAACTTCAAGCCCCAAATAGTCTTTTCCAAAGGCTCACGTGGATGATTAAGCAAATTCACTATGCTATGAAGAGCAATAAGTTCCAAGTAAATAGTTTATCCATTGCTAAGGAGCCAATGTAAGGGTTTTTGTTTTAATTTTGTGCACATAGGATATTGGGGACTAAAGGGCCACAGTTTGTCCAAGCAGCTACTGCAAAACAAAGACTAGATATTTTCCTATAGCCAGGAGGCAAGGTCAGTAATTGCCTCTAGAGCCCTTGCTGCAGGGATCAGATAGCACCATCTAAATCAGTACTAGATCAGGATTGTTAACAGATCAAGGAGGAGGAAAGGAGGTGTGACATTTCTCTGTTCCACTTATCAAGGTCAGGCAGGATATCACTGCTGCTTAATGTCAAGCGTTATTCATCATTCGTTCACATTAACATGCATGCTGCGCGTGGGAGAAGTGAAATGTTTCCTCATGGAGGCAGGAAGCACTTAAAAACCACAGGCAACCAGTGAACCAAATGTTGGCTTGCTTAGTAAAGGCCATTTCCAACATCTTTTTCTTCACAAGAATTTCCAGCTTTGCTCATTGAATGCAAATAGAAAATTAATGATTTATTAGACTATTCCATACTTTATTTATTCAAAACTTTTATATCCCGTCCACTACATAATTAAGATGATAACCTGTTCTTTAACAATTTGAGTAATAAAACCCATCTGAGTTTTTCCAATAAAGAATAACAAATCCCAGCTACAAAAAAGACTGTGCAGCACCCATCCAAAGAAAATGCTTTTCTTCAGGGAAGCCCCCAGCAGCCTGCATGCCTGGAACCTCACCGCCTGAATGGACTTCTGGCATCTGAAAGCAAGGCACGTGGACACAATGAGCATGCAATAATGCAATGACTGTTCCTTCCTGCAGAGCTACAGAAGGCACTTCACAAACCGGTTTAAATAGCTATGGCAGAAATATGTTCTTCGTATCTCTCAGCCGGATTTTTATTCATTAAGGAGTAATTAATGGGAAATAGTTCTCCCTTCATGATCTTGTAGGGTCTTTGCTCTTGCAGAAAAGTGTATCTTTAAAAACATTCAAGATACATCCCTTTTCACATTCGAGGGTGTAGGCACTGCTTCTAGCACTGTAACATTTTCAAGTAAGTTGTCTCTTCAAGGACCTCCTCTTAAAAGCACTGGCACTGGAGTGAAAAAGCATAAAAGCAGCTTTTCTCATTTGTCAGCTTCCTAACATAAGCTTTTCCAGTCTCTCAAAGATGAAACAGATTTATTTCCATTCTTTTGAGGGGAAGACTGGAACCCCATCCAAGCTGAAAGTGTCTTTGGCAAGGTAGTCTCCAGTTTCCCAGTTGGCATCTCTTGAGCAGTGATGCATCCATAAGCAACAAAAATGACTATCTCTGAGATTCAGAAGGATAAAGAGCACTGTCACCATAACTGGAATATTAAACCTTTCTTTTTGTATGACAACATTCAAAAGCATTACTTGCAATTATCATCCCAGAATGTCTGGATACATGGGCCTAACTTTGTGACATCTGCCATCTCTGCGGTTTACATACACGCAAGTACCACCTGGTTTCAGAACTCCAGTGTAGCATTTGCTTAGCGCTCTCAAACCAGTTTGTGCTCTTTAGGAGGTGGCGACTGGATGACTCCAAGAGTGCAACTCAGATAATACTTACACATTTCCTTGCTCACTCGCTGTCTTCCAAGAGGAACTTGAACAGCCAAGACACACGGGGATCAACTGATTTGGGAAAGCAATGTAAACTGTTCTTAATGTACAGTGGCCTTCACAAAGAACAATCCTAAAAAACTTCTTCAAAAGTGGAATGCAAATTAATTAAGGAAAGGGCTGAAGCTGAATCAAAAGAGACTGGCTGGGTATGCGAGGCAACCAGCCTTCAGTCCCTCACACCAGCACAGTGCCCACAACACGGGTCCCTGAATGAAGAATGAGTGCTAAAATCGGGAATATGCAGTTCGTTGCTGAGTCTGGGCCTGCGGTGGCTGCTGGGGTGGCTGGGGAGGCTGCTGTCCCTGCTGCTGCTGAAGCCGAATTTGCTGAGAATATGGATCTTCCAGAGACTTAATCAGCAGAGTGGTTTTTGGCCCAGTCTTCCATATGATGCCATTGAGATCTCTCACAGAGGACTCCACAGTGATGCTATGGGTGCCAACAATGATGAAGTTCAACAGGAACTGCGTGCTGAAGTAATCGTTGTGAGGCTCGACCATCTGCTCCATCTCATTGGTCAGGCTGTCAAGAGGCAGCTAAGAAAGGAGATGAAAAAGGAAGGGTCAGGATGGCATGTCAGGCTGTGCCTCTACAGAACAGTGCAATGCTTTAATTTCACCATACAAAACAGATGCTGGGCTCCTGGGTGTGGCAGCAGAAATTCCAGAGGAGGGCCAAATAAGCCGATATCCTATACTTTCATTCAGCCTGCCTGACGCAAGACATTAATCGTCCATCTTTTTAAAACTAGCTCCTTGCTCAGCTGTCCAGATCAGAAGCCCATTGCTGGGAACCTCTGCTTGGCCACTCCAAGTAATCAACATTCTCTCGCATGGTATGTTTACTGCTACCAGGCAGCTGCATGTTTTTAGCTAGGGCATTTCAGAGCTACTGCCAAGATAGCAAGTGAAGAAAGGGATTATCTGTCCTAGCAGTCTTTTACCACCAATATGTGCACGCTTCTCCTAACCAAATGATAAAAGAGGTGGGAAACCTGCCATGGAAATATGAAAAAAGATCTAGACCACTGAGTTGTTATTCAGGGGGCGTCTCTTCAAATGAGCCAAAGCTGCTAGAAACGCTTGCACTCACATTAAAGGACTCGCACACACACTGGAGGTGAAAGGATTCTTACTACCCAGCAGGGGGAATGAGATCTCAGTGTCGATTCTTCCCAGGTTTCAGGCAGCATGAAGGTCCACAGTTTATGGCCCAGATCCTTCCTCACCTTGTAGTCTTGTCCAGATTTGCTCTGCAGCGTTGAGGACACATTCAGACAGATGGACTGGACTTTGCGGAAAAGGCCTGGCTTGGAGCCGTGCTGAACCACTCCTTCCACTTTTAAGGCCAGTTGCTGGTTGTTCTGAACTACGATGGGCTCAGCAGGGTTACGTGGAGATGGGGAGAGGGCAAGCTGAAGCAAACAAAGAGCAATATTGATTAGGGGGCATTTGCTGAGGACAAAAGCAAAACATTCAAGCAGGAACAAACACCTTAACTGAAATGAGAAACGAGGAGAAGAGAGGGAGAAGGCAAAGACTGTTACAACGCTCGCGAAAAGGAGCACTTGAACACGATACGTGACCGGGGCATTCCCGTGTGAGACTCCACTACTGAAGAAAAACATTCCTGCACATAGAAAAGTAACATGACAGGGAGAGCAGAGTTCAGTCCAGCTTTCTTTGCGCCATACCAGTTTTGCACATGCAGGCAGTATTTAGACAGGAGAGTAGCTGACATGCTACTCTTAGCCTAACCTAATCTAGCCTAACTTTCACAGGATTGCTCTTATGAAGGTACAATGCAACTATGCAAGTAATCTTTGGCTTCTCACAGGAGTAAAAAAGGTGGGATATAAATACAATAGAATAGTAGTAATATTTCCAGCTTCCTAGGCATAATAACTAGTTGCAACCAAAAAGTTCTTTCTCACACCCATCCAACTCTCTTTGATCTTGGTCCTTGCCAATGTTTTCTTTCTTCTTCTTCTTCAGTTTTTTTAAAGAAAGCATGAACCTTGGAAGCAGATGCATGCAAAGCAAATATATTGTAAGGTGCATAAATCAACTACGGAATCCTGTTCTCAACAGTTATATTTGGCAGAGAATACTTGATCTTAGGGCAGATAAAGGCAAAAGGCTATTTGTGTCCACCTATAGCCAGCAAACACACAGAAAGTGAGCATGTTGCCTTTTCAGCATTATTTCAAGGACAAAAACACCCTTTCACAATAGCAGCACAGAAACTGCATGTACCAAGTTTCATCTCACAGCCCTCCTGTAATACTTAAAAGGCACAGTGCCGACATGGACCAGGTGCAGGTCACAGAATACCAAACTTAAGTTAAAAGAAACCAGATTTAGACTTGACAGTAAAGAAATTGTTCCTGGTGTCTAAACAGTACGACAATGGAACCTATTACCTAAAGTTGTGGGCTCCCCCTCGCTGAGATATTCAAAAAGCGCCTGGACAGGCATGTGAATGGGATGGTGTAGTTTAGTGTCCTGCAATAGCAGGGGATTAGACCCAATAATCTTCTGGCACCTTCCAGTTCTAGTGTTCTATGATCATAGGGGTCCTTCCCACCAAAGTGCCACCTGGCCAGAACAATGATTGGAGACAAGATTTGTGTTTTACAGCGGTGACATAAAATGAAGCCCTGGAAAGGAGGCACGTACAGCACTGTTGTAAAGGCACCATCTGTGATCCCAATTGGATGAAAGCCTCACGCTCCGGGGTGTCAATCTTGCAGGATTCTATAATCATTCAGGAAACTCTCTTACTTGTCAAGAGCCCTTGCTTTCAATTCTGACAGCCTTAAGTACACACACTCCACGCAGACCTTAAATCAGTGGTTATTGACACAGTGCACTGGTTACCTGGAGCAAGTCTGAAGCCTCCTGCACCTCCTGCAAGGAGAGACGTCAGAGTCTCCACCTGCACTGCAGAGCTGCTTCCTTGAGATGCTCATCTGCTGGGCTGCCTAGTCAGTTCTGCAAAGCTAGAGAAGACTCTCCATTTTAGGGGGATCACTCTGGGAACCAATCCTGAACCACGATTCATATTGCTTGCCTATTTTGCTGCCATTTGTCAATGTCTACATTATAAGGATATACTGATTTATCTTGCTATAAGGCAGTATTGAATTGTGTTATTCCAGAAGCACCGCTGCACCAGCAGACACTAGATCCCAAACTACGTGCAAGAGGAGAAGCCAGCCAAAGTTGCCATTGCACACTGCAAGTATAACGCAACAGAACAATCTGGTGGCGTTCTGCTAGTGCTACTTGAGCTTGCAGACTGACACTTTTGGACACACCCAATTGTTTTTGTCTATGTTATTAAATATTAGCAAACTGCTTTTAGATTAAAAGTTGCCATCTTTATTTTTCCACATCTAAGGTATAGATTTAAGAAAATTAAAGTGCTGGAACAAAGCGTTTGGAAGCTGATTTATAAGGGAAACTGGATTAGGATCTGAGGAAGGAGGAATGCCAACTGGCTGAAGATTCATCAATACTTTAAGATATGCAGATGATGCAATATTACTGGCAGAGAACAGCAGTGCATTGAAATGGCTCCTGAGCAAAGTGAAAGAAGAAAGTGCAAAAACAGATTGCAGCTGAACATTAAGGAAAATCATGATCACAAAGGAATTATACAACTTTAATGTCAATAATCTTGCATATCTTGGGTCAATCACAAATTCAAATGGAAACAGTAGCCAAGAAATTAGAAGACTGAGACTTGGAAGGGAAGGAAACTAGAAAAGGTCAGCACATGTAAGGATGTTTCACTGGAAATCAAGGCCAAGGTAATCCACACTATTGTATTCCGAATCACTACGTTTGAGTATGAAGGCTGGCAGTGGTGAAAGCTGACAGGAACAAGACTGATGCATTCCAAACATGGTGCTGAAGGAGCGCTTCCTGAATACTGACAGAAGAAGGAACATGTAGGTCCTACCTAGATGAAACCAAGCCACAATTTTTCTGAGAAGTAAAAGGGATGAAACTGAAGCTGATGTCATTGAGGCACATCATGAGAAAGCAAGACTCACCGGAGAAGACAATCATGCCTGGGAAAGTTGAAGGCGGACAATGATTAAGATGACCAAATATGAGATGGATTTGTACCATAAAGCAAGCCACAGCCCTGAGTTTACAAGAGCTGAGTAGGGCTTTTGCGGACATGACACTTGGGAAAGCACTCATTTATAGGGTCTCTGTAAGTCAGAGATGACACTATTTGTTCCTCTAACACAATGTAGCCTGTTCTGACAGGTAGCAGTTCTTTAGGGATTCAGCAGGTTTTTCCCCCACATCATCTGCCAGGAGTTGAACACGGGGTATGAGCTATTCTCTTTCCCACTCTAGAATCTAATCTAGAATCCAAAACCCAAAATCTAATCTAGAATCCAAAATCCAAACTAATCTAGAATCCAAAACCTATTGTGTCTGATTAAAAATCTAACTGGCTACAGAACCAACAGACTCCTTATTATGGTTTTTAAAGCTACCTTTTAGATGTGTTTCTAAAGAAACCTTTTGAAATCATGGTTATTTTTAAACTAACTCATCAGTGCCTTGCATGAAAATGTTATTCATGGAATGCATCTGCAAACAGGATGCTAGATCTGTCAGGTCCTGCTCAGACAGTGTTCTGGAAAAGTTGCACAACTGAGTTACTACAACTGATGCTTCTGTGTGGAAGTACTCCTCTGAATGCCTGAAATATTCTAGTTGTGTTAGACTAGCAGCAGCTATTTCTAAACTAAAAACTGCATCACCGGTGTCATTCCTTAAGTTTCAACCTCTCCTGAACGTCAAGTAATATGTTTATTAAAGTGATGTTTTAATTAAAATAGCAAGCTATATTGTAGCATGAATAAATATGGTTTATTTCCTTTGGTGCACAAATGGCATTGCTTCTGTCTTATACTTTGCTTTCAAATGTACCAATGAAACACTTATCCTGCCCTTTAAGTCTGTCCACACAAGTATTTCAGCTATGAAGTACGCAACGCAGAATTCAAAAAGGGTTTATAGTATTGGACTGTAGCATTCTGAAATGCATGCTAACATTCCAAACTGCATGACTGAAGAGAAATGCCCAGGCAGGGTGGATTGGAAGCGCTCAATCATTCAAGTGCCCAAAATGTTGTATGAAAATCTAAGACTGCACTAGAAAGCCTCGACTAGTGAGAGAAAGAAGCACAGTATTCAATCCACATATTTTAGGTATTCATAAGGCTGGGCAGGAGAGAGAAATTGTGCTGTTCTTTGTTACGAGCAGCATACACATTGTCTAATGACATGATGCAACTATGATCCAAACCACAATTCCCATTATACACTTCCCTCCACAAACACATTATCTAAAAGTCTTCATTGCATTTCTTCTAAAGAAGCACTTCAGTTGCAGAGAACAACCTTCCCCAACCTGGTGGTCTTCAGAGGCATTTGGACTGCAGCTCCCAGAATTCCCATCCACCAGGGCCATTGACTGGGAATTCTGGGTGCTGCAGTCCAAACATGTCTGGAAGGTGCAAGGTTGGGAACGCTGGTATAGAAGGTGGGTCTGTGATTAGGGTACCACATGGCTAAAATACCTGTAGACTGCACATAGAAACAAATGTGTAAAATCAGGAACTTCATTCTGAGCAATCAAAAGGGTAAGTTCTCCTTGAGTGTACTTTTCTGGATGGTTTTTTCAGTAAATGGCTGCCTTCAGTGTAAGCTTCATGTATACAGTATTTGTTCTGGAGTTTAATTATTCTATGGACAGGATATGAGGTTAATGGAAAAACAGCAGCTGAGGCCATATTACCCCAAATGGATAGTCGATAAACCCAACCATTAAAATGAAGCAGGAAAATGAAGCAATAAAACAGACCACAAGAGTTTAAAAGGTACAAGAGTAAATATTGAAATCTGCCAAGCCATCCAATGGATTACACAAAAAATAGGAGTGCACAAGTTTCTTCCATCACATGAATGCTTACAGAGCACTGGGGTGCCCTGTGCTGTATAGAAAAAAGAGATAAGGAGAAAACACCTAACTCACTAAAGCACAGACTCCCTCGTGCAACCTACAATTTGTCACACATCTGAAGAAAACCCATATATTTACTCTAGGCAAGTGGCAGATTGCCCTTCCAACGCAAACGATGTTAAGTGTTCCTTCATATATGGCATTTTATTTGCAAAGAAAAACTCCACGTGAAACTAATTGTTACAACTAGGTACACTGTCAAGTTTAAAAACTGAGCAATTGTCTATTTTGTCAATTACACACTAGCATGAGAAAAGAACACTGCCTATAAGGAGCTCCAGGTTACTCTTACTGCAAATTTATTGTTTATTTAGATAATCTCTATATTTCCTTTTAGCAAACCACTAAAGGAATGTACAATAATAGAAAAATAATAAAACCTACATCACAAAACATTAATAGCACAACCTCCCACCTTCTCCAAACAATATTCAAAAGCTAAGTTAAAAAGATTTAGAGCCAAACACAATTCCAAAGTTCTCCTGATAGCTAACAGTGCCTCCATCTTGTCCAGATGTAATCTCAGCTTGTTCATCCCCATTTAGTCCATTATGAAACCCAAACTCTTTTGCTGTTCAAGGGTATTGCCCAGTTCCCTGACAATGGGTGACAAACAGAAAAAAGTTGGGCATTATCAGAATATTGGTGGCCCTTTAGTCTAAAGCTTTGGGTAACATCACCCTCCTTTGTTCACATATTAAATGAAGTGAACAAGGTAGAAGCCAATGGAACACCCCAAGCCAATAGCCCTGGTGCTGGACGGCAGTCCCTTCATTCAGTACAATGTGCTGACGTGGTGGGCATCTAGGAGCAACCGCTGCAGCCTCTCCACCCCTCCATGCAGAAAACATGCTGAGAGCCAGTCAGAATAACCAGAAAGTGTCCATGACCATGGAATTGCATACAAATCCTCCATTTTCACTACCTTATCACAATACCAAATTGGAGCGTGCGCTGCAGCATGTGTGCGACAAGATCTGACACAGATCCCTGGCTGCCATGGGAGACAGTAAATCCCAAACCACTCCTGACTGAACAAACTTCACTGCGATCACTGAAATGCATTAGGAACGGCAGCATGGAACTAACTCCTGCCCTGAGATCATGCCAGGTAGCTCAGAAAGGGAAACTGTGGGCGGCGGCAGCAGAACTGGACTCCAGCAGAGTCCCTGTAGCAGTCTTCTCCAAGCTTGAGCCCTCCAGATGTGGTAAACTACAAACCCTAGATCTCTCAAGCCAGCTGGGTAACACATCTGAAGGATATCAAGTTGAAGGCAGCTGTCCTCCACCATCCTGGCCACCAGCTACAGTGGCAGGCATCCAACACTGCCAGGCTGCTGGATGGAGCATCTGATTACTGAGACCAAGCTCCTGTACAGCACTGCCACTCCATCTTCCAGCTCTCGCCTGCTGTACCGTGCCCTAACCTGTCAGACCAAATTGGGTGAGAGAGATTTCTCTCTGCATGTATCAGAATCCTGAGGGTGAGCAATCAGTTCAAAGCAGTTTAAAGTCTTCTTTAAAGGTATCTGTGATCCAAAAAGTACTTCTATTTAGGTGTGAATGTTAGTGCAGTTCCATGTCTTGGCAGCATTTTAATCTACAGATGATAAACTGGACCACAGGATCAGTGATTGTCTTCTTCCCCCACTTGTCATGCCTGCCGGTATAGGGATTTCTCTACCTTAAACAGTGGTTCGAATTCAGTGTAACCAGAGCTTACCTTAATACTAGTTGATTGTAGCTTCTGGAAAAAATACCTCTGGAAGGACAAGGGGACTTTCAGCAAGGCTATAACTGCACTGCATAGACAAGCCGTGTGCTGGAACAAAACAGTGCCAAGCTGGATCAGATTTTTGTTTTACAGCAGAGATAGAAAACAGCATGTATGTTAGGTATCTGCTCCATAGTTGCTTGCCCTTAAGTCTAGAGGGTGTGCCTACAGTAGCTCTCCCCATAGGGTGAGCTCCAGGTAAGTTGGACTATAACTTCTACCAGCTCCAGTCAACATGGCCAACAAGTGGGGAAGGCTGGTCTACAGGAACGGTGGGAAAGGTTTTCAAGTTTTAGCTGCACCCACCTCAGGGGCACTGTTTGGGCCATCAGGCCACTTATAAATTTATAAATAACTGAATTTTAAAAAATTCCAATTCCTTCCTGTATCAGGACAGGAGAAATATTAAGTAGTTACAAGCAGTACTTCAGTACCAGTGGTAAAGGAATTCAGAAGACAGCACAAAGCTACTCTCTCTCCCAGTTTAGCATAATGAAGAATTTATGGCAAAGGAAAGCAGAGGCCAAAACCATCTGATTTTGAATGGGTTTCCTGGAGACTGGGGCCATCAAGAGGAAGAGATGGATTGCCAAATATGGTAGGCCAAAGCAGCACTGGATGTAGCAAAAGGCTCGCAAGGAACCGTGTTTGTAACAGGAAGTTGCTGCAAAGGGGAAAAGAATGAAAAACCCAGAAGGAACGAGACATGTTGTGGGGGACTGGGGGCAAATTCTGAAGTCCTAGGAAAAACTTACTTTACTCCTGTGTTGGTCAGAGTACCCATAGCGCTGTCTGTCTTCAAAAAGGCAGAAAGGTGGCCAGCAAGAAATTAACACTGAAAGAGCTATAATGAATCAGACAAAAGCCTATCAAGTCTGGCATCCCATTTCCCACACTGGCCAGCCAAGATATCTATGGGAAGCCCACATGCAGGATGTTATGGCAAGTATTCCTTTCCTGCTACTGTTCAAACACTATCATCACTTTGGGTGTTGTGGAGAAATCCACAGCTATTTTCATTCACCTAAAAATGCAAGTCAGTCTTGCAGAGCTACTCCGAATACATGGAAGTAATCAGGAACCTGTTCTCCTTTCAAAAAGATCTCATGGAGATGTCTTGAAATCAATACTGAGCCCCCGTGGTTCCAAGTCTAGTCAAGAGAATAAGTTCATCTAGACGTAAGTTGCCGTTCAGCAACTGTGTTCTTGGATGGCCTTGCTCAGGACAAGAAACACCGCACTGGGGAGAGGCTGTACTGAAACATGATCAGCTTTAATAAATAAAGCGAAGGTGGGGCAACAACAGATGGCCTCTATGGATTAACCTTCTGTAATTATGGCCATCATAGCATTGAAAATTTATTAAGAAAGCCAGCTCCTTGCAAACGGAGGGATAATTACAAGGAGAACAGAGGACTTCTGTCTGCACAATGATTTATGACTTTGCATGCCAATAAAAGCTTAGGCCCTGTATTTTCAATTAACAATCTTTTCATCTGTCCATACAGATATATGCAGAAAGCTATGTAGTGTTTTTGAGCTGCAGCTTTCCATTCTACAGTCTAGGGGCAAAGATTAAAACATTACTTATCAGAAATATGTCATTTCTTATACAAAAATATGCTCAAAAGTTATTTTATAGAGTTTAGACTTCTTGCAAGGAAGAACATCTTTTTCCATTTTGCAAATTTTTAGCCCGATGACTTCTACATTATACCTAAGTCAGTGCTGACATTATTCTTACTAGTCCAGCCAATAAACTGGATTAATCCTGAAATCCCGAACTGTCACTTTTATCTTGACCATCTAAAATTGCCACTGATAAAACAATGGCAGTGTTTAAGAGTCATCAAAAATTACACACACACAGGCAAAATGACTCTTCAGAGTTTTCTTTACATTAGAAATGTACTGCTTTCTGTGTTTATTTTGGAATGTCACTTGGGACCAATACAGAATCTGAAGATACAATCGTCTGACATCTTGACTCAAGAAAATGTAAAAAATGGTACTTTAGAAGTCTCTTTGACAGGGTAGTTTCTACTTGCCATATAAGATACAGGTGCATATTTTCTGTTCAAGGATTCCACTTCCTCCAGCACATGACTGAACACAGACATCATTCTCCTTTCATATTCACTTGAGACATGTGCCACTCCAGCAGAACCATATTCCTGAAAGCTACGGAAGAAATTAAATTCCATTTTAAGCAGCTTTATATGCATTTTTGCTAACCTTGCTTCAGAACCTTATGCATTTTACACACAGTGTTGGACCTCCTCATTGGAAGGGAAGGCAGGATAAAGATTATAAATATTCCACTCATACTACTATTTGTATGAATTGACCCTACTTGAGAATATAATATCACAAAGAAACTGTGTGGCTTGCTCTGGCTGATATTATTGCTGTCTTCAGTGCTGTAGCTGTTACTCCCGACACATCCTTATCTCCTCTTTGCATTTCACACTTAACTTGAAATCTCTAGTTAACCCAGGACATGAAAAGGTAGGCAACAGTTATTCCAGACTGGGATGGGGGCTGATGTACTGCAGCATCAGTAATTACTCACAATGGTGGAAAACGGAAATCTATCCTGCACAGACAAGCCTTGCTCAGTCATAGTTAAACTATAGTTTTGCACTAATAAACCTTTGACTCATCAGCTTTCTCCTCCAACACAACCATGAAGAGGTTGTTGGAAGCGTTCACTTGTTTTTGTAATTAACCATAATTTATTCCTTTGTCTGAAGCCAGAAAAAACTGTTTGTTGAGCTTCTTCTGGGAACCTGGCAAGCATGGGTTATACGAGGGTTAACAATCCTGGCATTATCCATGATTATGCTATGGTTGTTTAACCCTTGAATAACCCATGTTTGCCAGGTTCACGTGACAAGACAAAACTAAGCAAGGATTGTATATTTAACCTTGCTGTGGGTTAAGCAAACCTTGATGAACTACAGTGTTATCATCTGAACCCTATCACTATAGTCTCTCTATGGTTTAGGGGAAACAAGTCAACTTCAAGCCATTATTTGCCTAAACTATAGCTAAGATAAATCAGATTTTGGACTAGACATTACAATGTAGTTAATTGAAAAATAGAAGCAAAAGTTTCTGATCACCTCTCTGCAGCCACCCTAGGAAAGAAGGGAAAGGAAAACACACAAGTTCAAGGTTTACACATTCAACACTAAAACCTAGTTTAGTATTACATCTGAGTTGGACAACTGTTTTAGAAAACTTGTATAGCCTATATGAATTGAGCTCTACTAGAAACAATTACCCACAAGGCTCCATTTTGAGAATCCCAAGGTGAAGTGAGCCATTACTACTTCTGATCATTTTTCTGCTTTCTCGTCTCAAAGGATCTGATCTATCCAATTCTGTTACATAAACGAATACCAGAGTGAGCCCAAAGGGGACACTAAGCAGACTTACGAGGCTCACTTGGTCCCTACAGTAATTTCATCCCAATCAATGGCAGTGCACCAGAGACTTATCTTGTTCATTTAGGGGACCTAAAGAGGAACACAGACAACTCAGGAGAGCCCAGTGCTGTGAGTGAGACAGAAAAAATTGAAGCACAGGCTCAGCTATTCTGCACACTTATTTAAAACTTAGGTCCATTGAAATGGCGAGGGCTTACGCCCAAGTATGTTTGCTTATGAAGAAGGATTTATACCTGCCTCTCTCAATCTCTCTCCCCTCCCACCTCCATTCATCAAGAGGAACAACTCTTCTCAAACCACTGTCCTGGAAATCTCTGGGTTTCTAATTAAAGGGACCTAATTGAGAAGATTGGTAATTAGGCTAAGAAGCTCTCCTGAAAGATGTGTGCTGTGGTGCAGAAGACTATTTGGCATGTTCTAGACTGAGGACTGATGGTTAAACCCAAAAGACCAAATCAGTAAACTGCATCTGTGCTTTAAATATACCCGAGAACCTTCTGGAATATTCAGGGGTTCCATGGCAGACACACAGAGGGTCTTTAGTAGAAGCCAATTTGAAAAGCAATCACTAGAGGGGGAAAATGGAAGAGCAGAAGCCTAGGGAACCTCAGTTTTGCACAGGTACAATGTTCATGCTGCCTTCATTCATTTTCACCTGGTTACCCAAAGGAGCGCTTATGTCCATATATGCCCGCCCGCCCCTTGAGATCAGCGGGAGAGTCCCTTCTCCGGGAGCCCTCCGTGAAAGAAATTAGGAGGGTGGGTACTCGGAGGAGGGCCTTCTCTGCGGTGGAGCCCAACTTATGGAACCCGCTCCCCAGAGAGGTCCGCCTGGCATCGTCATTATTTGCTTTTCGGCGCCAGGCCAAGACTCTTTTATTTAAACATTATTTTAATTGTTAATTTTATTTATTGATTTTAACATTTTTTTTGCCAGGATGTCTCCAATATTTTATGTAATTGTATTGATTATTTATGTTTGGAAGCCGCCCCGAGGCTTATGCGAATGGGGCGGCATATAAGCTCTCCAAATAAATAAATAAATAAACAAGCAAGCAAGCAAGCAAGCAAGCACGCAGCAAAAGCGATCTTAAACTGAAAACTGTCTATTATATAGACAATACACTGTAGTTTAAGCATCATTTCTCTCAATCTTTTTGCAGTTCTCAACCAAGTTCATTTAGCCCAGTCAACTTTAAGGGAATTGGGACTCCCTTCAATGGACTTCTAAAACTTCTAAATTTTGTTGGTGTTGTGACTATTTGTATGAACAAGGATCTGTTGAAATGACCAGCATTACTCTTCCACACTTTAATGTCTTTCACCTATAATGCAAGGTCATGCATCTAATGACCACTGCTGCATAGCCCCAATATTGTGATTTGTATTCATATGTATATACTACTTTTTCATGAAAACAAGATGTTTATTAACATAAAACTATCAAGAAAAACTATAAGGAACTATGCGGTACTATCAAAATCAAACCCTAACACTAATGTCAATTATGCTGTACTGGCATTAGGGAAGTCAACTGCAATGAGTACAGGTTTTCTGGGAAATCTTGTCACACCAATATATGCCATTAGCATTGCAGAAATTCAAGGTCTCTTATGCCAATACAACATAATTTACATTAGTGATAATGTCCCATTGGATACTGTTCATACAGCTTATCATTTTAATTATGGAGTAGAAAAAATATAAGGACCACCAATATAGCAAAAAAAGGACAATTTAAGCTTTCAGAATGACAAGGTGCAACACCTCAGCTTAATTAGCAAGACAATCTAGCTTTCATCTGTCACTGAAATTAGAGCTGAATAAGCCAAAGGGCCATATGAACAAACTCTCTCATAAATTAAAAAAAGGAGGCTAATTTTGCACAACATTTATTTCACAGCACTTCTAACTAGATAAGCTACTACCAGGTAATTAAATTACCATTACTAATAAAACTAAGTCTGCATCAGACTTACCTTGCAGATTCAGGATCCAAGATCAGGGCTTCGATTGCATGTGATATCAATAAGCAACTCTGCTGTTGTCTGATATGATGTTAAAGGTAAAATCTTGACTATATTATATGCTATATAAATGTTATAGTAATTACAACCAGGCTGGCCTTCATTACTGGGGAGGTAATAATGTAACATGGGTTTCAAGCAACTGGATTCAACAGATTAAGTCATTTGGATACAAGACTAAACCAAAATTTGCTGCTGCTTAGAGAACCCCAGGCTTATACATTCTCTCACCACTCTCTTCTAACATGGTTGTGGGAAAGAAACTGATTACTGCTTCCTAGTTGAAGCTAACTACAGTTTATTATTACTTCATAACTTGTTGCAGTAAACCACACTTAGCATTAATCCCAGTTTGTCCCAGTTCAGGTGGAATGACAAACAGTGGTTATCATATACCTCAAATGAGATGCTTCCCTTCTCCATGCCATTTTGTGGAGGCTGGGGGGGGCGGGGGGAGCATGTGAACCCAAGGCTCACCCAGGTCCCTTTGCACACTGCCAAATTACTGTCTGAATAGGGCACACATCTTGAATATCATGCAGACACAAGGCAGGGAGCTGTTATCAATCTCAGGCCTCCTTACTTATACATCTGAATAAAACACACGACAGCAAATGCACATTTATGTCACGTGCATGATATGTGAGAAATGAATCTCCGCAGAGCCTGCTGAATAACCTGAACTTACCCATACATAACACATTTCTCTGGAGGACTGAAAGGCTCTGGATGAACTGCTACAGATATGTGGCTTAGCAACACTGGCTGCTGCCCAGATCAGACATATGTGCAAGGAAGGGATCTACACAGAGCTGGAGCTTCATTACATTAGCAGCAGTAGTTCTCACTGCCAGAGAACCAACCTGCTCTTTAAGGAAGGCAGTGGAGCCAATGAATTTCTTAAAAAGCAGACTGGGAGGAAAACAGGCAGATTCCTGTTCTTTTGCCTTAACCGATCCAACTGCCCCCTTCTCCAAAGACTGCGTTTGCACAATCACTGTGGAAAGACAGCCGCTGTGGCTTCCCTTCCCTGTCCTGCATGTGCTGCACCACGTGCGCATGAGGTGCGAGGCACAGTGGTGGCTTCCAAATCAAACCAGAACCCAGCTAGTTGTGCAACCAGCACACAAGAGGTGGGGAAAAGGAAATCACTGTGGCTTCTCTTCCCCTGGCCATTATCTAAGGAATGATGCAATGTAACATCAGATCCTCTTTAGTGGTACAATTCACATAAAACATTCCTGGTTCAATCTCATAAATGTTTAGCTGGCAAAAGAAAAAGATCCAGGGTAGCAAGACTGGGAAAAATCTCTGAGAACACAGAAATCTATTGCTCATAGATGGGCGTTGTTTGGAGAACTCCTGAACACCCATTATACATCTTCAAGTTGGCAGTATCACTCTTCAAGAAAAAGAACCAGGCCCTGAGCTTTAAACTGCAGGATACAATTCCACATTCCTCAGAGTTGCTGAATCGGCATCAAAAGATGACTGATAAAGATCTCCATATCTGGCAGCTAGGTTCCTGAATTCTTCCATGGAGAGTTTCATCTGCCGCAGCAGAGGGAGAAAAAACAAAAACAAGTAATTACTCTTGGCTGAATGCTCATAAAGACTGAACCTTGAAGTGATAGGAAGATTTGTTGCGGCATAGGTTAAAATTTTTTTTCCTGTTAAACTCTCACAGAGCGTTGAAAGATGGAAGACAGATAGTTTTGGGGGATTGAATGTATAGGCTACATTTGTTTAAAATTTCCCTGGCAACTTTGCTTACTTTGTTCATTTGAGTTTGCTCTGTTTATTTTAGGTTGTTCCTTTTTATATTCTTTTAATGTATTTGTATAAGTTAAGAAAATAAAAAATAAGAAAGAAAAAAATGTTAGCGTTAGGTAACCCTCCCCACATACCATCAAAGTATCGTTTCCAAATGTTACTCTGGTTCCTTTGTGCTTGTTTAATCCTTTCCCCCTGTCAGTTAATTGAACATCTCTCTCTCTCAAAAAAAAAAAAAAAAAAAAGTGAACCGAACTGAGATGGTTATTGTTTTATTGTTTTCTGGGATATCCTAATGCTCACTTTCTTTGTCTGCTTGTGCAAAGGTCCAGCACATCACGGCACTCCTGCACTGAGGCCTCGCATCCTTAGGACAACTAAAGTTTGCATCAGAGAGCCCCCCGCCCCCAACAGGGCTAATGTCAGGGTCCACTCCTTAATTCCACCCGATCCGAGTAGGCAGTCTCATCCGAAGCCATGTGAGCATCCCTGCGTTGGAGCGCCTCCCATCGATCCCTTTAAACAGGAGCAGCATGAGGTGCTTAGCGGGATGGCCACAATCCAGTGAGTCAGCGCTCACTACTCATGAGTCAAACTTGCCAGCTCTTTACTGGGCTTCTCTTGCCTTTCTCTGCCCTGCTGAAAGTCACCCTTGTCTGTTGCTTGCTCAGCTTTCCCCTTCCCTTTCTTCCCATCACCACATCCATGTCTTGCCTTGCTCCCCTGACAACCCCTCCAGCAAGTCACCAATCTGAAGTTATATTAGTATCCATTAGAGCAGGGCCTCTTCTACTATGGGATACTCCTCTGGGCATGGATATATTTATTCTGGGTTTTAGAAGGTAGGTGAAAACCATTGTGCTCTGCTAGACTGTAAGAAGCTGGAGGTTGAGGTCTTTAAAAAAATCAGCTGTATTTATTATTATTAATTTCATTTTTGTACTGCACAACAGCCAAAGCTTCCCAGGCAATGTACAACAATCAAAAATACAATGCAATAAAAATTTAAACAATATAAACATCATAAAATTTCACTAGAGGTTTTGAAAAAGTATTTTAACAGCTTAAGCAGTCATGACAGCTATTGTTAATCTGCTTCAGTTTCTTGTAGGTTTTATGAATTTTCAAAGTGTCTTTTAGAATGACTTCAGGGGCTCCTTGGGTGCTGAAATGTGCCACTTTTTAGTCACTTTCAAAGGGGCATCCAACATTATAAGAGTAAAAAAGTCAACAGACCTAAAAGAATAAAAACAAAATCAGAAAACAGCAGGGGAATAGTGTGGCTTTTACAAACTGACTGCCAGAAGCAAGCTGAGAAAGAAAAGCTTCAAAGGTGCCTCCAGAAGGTAAGCACAGCGGGAGGGGATGTGGGAGAAGAGACATAATTTTGGAAGGTATTCCAAATCTATGGCACTGCACCTGAAAAATCATGCTTTAAAGGAGGCCATTCTAGCTCCTGTATAAAGTGAATTCTTCAGCAGGAACTCATTAAGCAAGTTTCATGATGTATGGAGCTGATAAGATCCTAAACAAAAAACTAAGTGATAAAAACAATATTGTCTGTACAGAGGGCTGGCACCATACCGCCAGCCCATCCTGCAGTGATGGGTTGCATAACTGCTACGGATCATTTATTCCGATGGCCTCCTCTTGCACAAGCTCAGTGACAGAGGCAAACCACTTGCCTGGTTGGAAATGCGTCCACACCGCTGGAGGTCACTACCTGACGCCATAGCGATCGTTGTGGCAATGGCAGGCGGAGGGCTAGTCTTCAGGCTGTTGCAGGTGCAGATGAGCTGAGAGAAAGCCTGAAGGAGGTCAATCCGGAGCTTGACAAACCCACACTGAAAGCTCAAAGGGTTAAGGGGAGTGCTGGCAGCCTGAGGGAAAAACAACACAGAAGCAAAAGTTGGGAAATTGATAGTTTAGGTCAAAAGCAAGCATGTCAATAAATCAACCACCTTCTGAACCCGGAGGGAAAAGGGGAATTTGCTTAGAAAGTGCAGGGTTATTTATTAAACCTCAGCAGAATCTGATTATAAAAGCAGACTTGTAGATTGCACCTTATGTCTTTCTTTTGGATCTTGTTGCAGTTGGGAGGTGAGATTATCCCAACATTTAGATTCTAAAACATCCCCCCAAACATAATTGGGTTGCTTCCTTTTTGAGATTTCCACAACTCTTCATCTGGCTTCCCTGACTGCACACAACCCACAACTATTCAGACTGAGATTGGCAACAGAAGCCCTCCTCTGGGAACGATATTAGGAAACAGAGTACCCGGAGGAGGGCCTTCTCTGAGGTGGTGCCCCGACTATGGAATGCTCTCCCCAGAGAGGTCCGCCTGGCGCCATCATATGTTTTTCAGCGCCAGGTTAAGACCTTTTTATTTAATCAATATTTTAATATGTTTTAATATTGAATTTTATTATTGTATTTTATTAATTTGCAGCCAGAGTGGGTCGTCAATTTATTTATGCTGTTAGCCGTCCAGAGTCGTTAGTAATTGGACGGCATACAAATTTAATAAATAAATAAAGTGCACCTTTATAAGAATGCAAGAAAAAACATGCTCGTATAGATCAATGGTCCGTCCCATCTGTTCACATGGTGGCAAACCAGCTGCCTGCAGGATCCCTCAAGCAGGATGGGTACACGAGCTCCACCTCCTCAAACTCCTCAACAAGTGATATACACAGGCACACTGCCTCTGATAACAGAGGTAACATAAAACCAGCACGGCTAGTAGCCATTGTTAGCCTTTTCCTCCATAAACTTGTCCAATCTTCATTGAAAGCATCTGAATCACAGAGTTTAACTATGTGCTGTGTAGAGGAGTGCATCCTTTTATCTGTCCTGAATCTCTCACTAATCAGCTTCAAGACACACTACCCTACTGTGTGCCTGGGCGGGCTGGTGCACTGAGTGTGGACGCTCCACAGTGGTGCAATTACATTCGCCAAGCTCCTCCTGATACAGAGACAAAGCAAATTCTCCTGCCTTCCTAGGAGGCTGATCAGAAGGAAGCTTAGCCAACCCAACCAGAGAGCACTCTACATTTCTTACAGGCAGCTAATGGTTCTTCTCAAGATAACTTGATCTATGTAAATAGTCAATTTGGGAACGTCAACGATATAGGTATTAAGCAGGCCTCCCTTTCAGGCAAGGTCTGAGAACAGTTGTGCCCATAAAACTTAAAGGATACCATTTGTCCTTATCCATAGCTAATTTTTGTTTGAGCAAATTTGTAGTATAATAGAATAGAAGGGTTGAAAGGGGCCAGAGGGTCATGGAACCCAACTGCCTGCTCAGTGCAAGATGCCAAGTTAAACCATCCCAGTGGCTGTCCAGTTGCAGCCTGAACACGCCTACTGTGAGAGCCCACAACCCCCCTAGGTAATTGGTTCCATTGTTGTAGTGCTTTGACAGTCAGAAGTCTTTCCCGAGGTCCAGCTGGAATCTGCCTTCCTGTAACTTGAGCCCATTATTCTGCGTCCTGCTCTCTGGAACGATCAAGAAGAGATTCTGGCCTTATTCTTTGTGAAAGCCTTCCAAGCACTTGCAGAATGCTATCATATCTCCCCTCAAGTCTTCTCTTCTCCAAGCTAAACATGCTCAGTTTTTTCAATGTCCCCACAGGGCTTTATCTCCAGGCCCTGGATCATCCTTGTTGCTCTCCTCTGAACCCTTCCCAGATTGTCTTTCACTTCCCTTCTTTCCTCAGCATCTTCAAAAAAATTTTGAAGCTCAAAACATGGTCTATTACTCAAAGGGAGCAGCAGCTGTATTTTCCAGTGCTGTAGGAGCCAGAGGAGGAAAAGAGGGCAGGATATGACAGAATGAAGTATTCCATATTTCACCCACCCTTGTGAAAGATGTTGGGAGATTAGATATTAGCAGGCATAATACAGTTAACTACAGGAACTCAAAATCCTTAATCCAATCACAGAATTCTCTAGAGAACTCAGATTAGACTTGAAGTGGTGGGAAAAAGAGAAGAGCACAAGGAGAAAAATGGCAAAAGACACAACTTGTATACCTTCTATGGCAGCGGTGTTTTTTCAATGAACATCTTTGCCACAGCTGTGCTGATGCTGATAAGTAAGTTAACAAAAAAATCCCTGTAATTTCCAAGCTCTCTCAATAGGGCACAGCCAGAGACACTGGGAACAACCAAATCAGTATTTGCCCAGTGAGATGAACAAATAGTCACATTTAAAAACCTCATAAAGGAATGATTACTAGGTTAATAAAAGAGTCCACTTAGGGCACATATATTGCAAAGCAACTAAAGCATCCATTTCCGCATACTGTGATTTTCCTATTCAAATTGGCACTATTTTTGTCACAGTAAGCAATTAAATGCATTTTCTGCTCTATACGAACCAGGCACTATTTCATTTCTGCTTGCCTGAGCTGACAAATTACCTTGTTCCAAAGTCAGAAATGCTCACATTCACATTGTGCAACACACGACTGCAGAGATTTAACAGAACAGGCAAGTTAATTAAGCTTTGTGGCCGTGTCCTCTTCTTCACACTTCACCAAGTGACTAGCTTTGAAGACATAAGGTTTCAGAGCTCAAATATAGACAAATTGTCTCAGAGATACCTGAGCCTTTTTTCTGTGGTTGCTACTTCTTGTAGAAATAAGTTATTTCTAGCCCTTCTATCTGCAGAAAGACATTTGAAATAGGTGATGGCAATGCTTTCTTACATTTGTATCTTACTTGAATCCCAGAAAACACCTGATGAGTTTATAGGGTTATCTCCTTTTAACTTCATAACAAACCCATGAGGCAGATATGTAGGGATCCAGCCAATGTAGCCTATGATCCCCAGGAATGAGTTGGGATTGGTTCCTCGGCCCTTACAGCAAAGTTTGAGCAACTCTATCACATTGGCTTATGACTCACATCTTGAGTGAAACTTTAGGAATGCATCAGTTTTAAAACTTCAAATGCATTACTTTACCCTATCTCATGCCTCCAAAACCTATTTCAAGATTAAGTGATAGATTCAGCATTTCTCAAATTTGCCATCAAATAGTCAAGAATTCAGTTCTAACAAGGTAGGTGCAACACATCTATAATGTGAAGCTTAAACTCCAACATAATACATGCCAGGGGTAGGCAAACTCTGTTATCTTTGTAAGCAGAATCTAAATTAGTTGCAATTCCTTTGCCTTGTTATGTATTTCCAGTGCAACAAGCCAAGTTAAGTTTGCTGTTCAAAGGTCTGAAGAATGCAGAATGCAGCTGCATGCCAACAAATGCAATATTGCATTAAATAAGGAAAACAGAAAGGAGAGGAAAGGTCTTCATTTTATGGGAAAGAAAGTTTAGCACTTGGCTGATTACACAAAGCAAATCACAGCCAAGATTGCTTTTACTCAAATTCTGTTTTCTCCATTCTAATTCTAGAGGGAATATTCATGTAGCATCCACACAATTAATAGGGTCTTCATACCTACTCTTGCCAACAACAGTTGTTCTGCCTGAAATTACTGCTGGATTAAGCTACCAAAGTTATTGCTGGAGTTAAGCACCTTGCTTCTGCACTGACCATAGTGGTGAGCACCACGCCGTTGGGTTGGTAGCACAGACAGCACACAAGTGAAGAATGCTACTGCTGAAGTTATGTATGGAATAGATTACAGCTGTGTGAAAGAATACATGTGTCAGCCTTCAGCGCTGCCCAGAATCCTGAAGGAGAAGCAGGGGACGAAGGGGCTCCCAGCAAACACTGGTACTGCCAGCAATCATGAAGAGACTCTGGGCCATGCCACAAAACCAGAGAACTCCACAATGTTTAACTCTCCGATAACCCCTCAAGAGTCCTAGCTCTCATTTACCACAGGACCAGAAGAGATGTGCTGGGCAGGAACATCGGGGTGTAATGGGTCTGCTCTGGAGAAAGGCAAAACTCATGTAAGCACCCGTCCAAAACAGGGCTTGGCAGAAAGCCAGGTGCCTCTTTATAAGCTGAATTGTTCATGCAACAGCAGCTTTTGTGACATTCCAAATTCCAGCACATGGGATCTCCTGAAGCAGGCAAGGAGACAACGTCTGTACACACCATTCGCTTTTTGAAGGCCTCGCAGAGTTTAACTAAAAATAGAGCAAGTGAGAAGGATGCTTGCTTTAACCTGCAGATCAGCGATGAGTAAGAGGAGGAACAAAGGCGTTAACACTCACCGTCAAGGATGCTATTCCTCTGTGATAAGATTTTAGTGACTCGGCAATGCAGGAAAGTGCTGAACTATAATCATCCTCTTGCAGTCCTGTTAGGCACTGTTCTGCATGGGAGAACTCCTTCAAACTGTTCAGCCAGAAGTAGAAGTGTTCTGAAGCCACCTGAGTCAGCAAGCTTTGATAGAGCTCCCTCGCCATGCCATGGTTACCCTGCAGAGGACAACCAGAGACACGTACAGTCAAAGGCAGAGCACACTGACGGCAGCACATAAATGACCTTACAGCAACAGAGCTATATCAGAAATAAAGTTAATGCTTTTTCAGTCCTGAAACTTGGATCTATCCATGAAGCAGGCATCTGAACCTTGCAAGGAATCCTCCCTCCCACTGAAATGGTGCCCCTGCTAGGGAGAAATGCTTCCCCCAACAGGGATCACTCCCAGCCTTCCCAACATGATACTCACCAGACGTGTTTTATTATAGACTTATATCCCACCTGCTCCTTTTTTAAAGAACTCAAAACTGCATAATTTTCCTCCTCCTGCTCTCAGTCTTATCCCCACATCAATCACCCTATGAGGTAGGTTGAGCTGAGAGTCTGTGACCAGCCCCAAGTCGCCCAGTGGGCTCCATGGCTGAGCAGGGACTAGAACCTGGATCACCTGAGACTCAGACCCGTGTGCTTAACCGTGCCACGCTGGCTCTCACATTGTTGAACCACCAACTCTCCTCAGTCCCCAGCAGCCTGGCCATTCCAGAGGGTGCCAGGCTGGGCAAGGTTGGCTATGCTGAACATATCAGGCTCTGCATGGCACAGTCCTCCTTTTTGGAATTATTGTTTGAGTCTACATACAGCTAGGGGGAATTTCTTCATCACGAGCTAACATTTGGTGCCAGAGTGATTTTCATTAGGACCTTCTCACATATTCTAACCTTTCATTAGGACCTTCTCACCTTTAAAAATTGCATTTTTCCTTGGAAAGGAACAAGTGATCTTAAGCCCAGCAAAGATGAGGCCATGTCACATCAGAGCTACAAACATAAGGGGCACTCTTAAAAAAAAAAGCCAATACCAAAAACATTTTTTTTTAATTTCCTGTAGAAATGCATAAAGGGATTGAAGTTGATTAGTCTTTGTTGTTGTTGTTGTTGTTGTTCAGTCGCAAAGTCATGCCTGACTCTTCACAACCCCATGTACAACATTCTCCTGTCCCCCATCATCCCCCGGAGTTCGCCCAACCCCACACCCATCTCTCCAGTGACCCCATCCAGCCACCTCAACCTCTGCCGTCCCCTTCTCCTTTGCCTTCAATCATTCTCAGCATCAGGGTCTTTTCCAATGAGTCCTTCCTTCTCACTAGGTGGCCAAAGTATTTGAGCTTAATCAAAGTATTTGATTAGTCTTGCTTGCTGCAAAAGCCAGAGTCACAACCACTGATCACACCCACCATTCTGGAAGCTTGCCTGGCTATCCTGTATGCCGTCCATCCATTGGAAACATTTTCAAGCTGCTGCTTGATAACAGTTTTCACTTCAGAGGATAAAGTCTTCTGACTGGCCACAAATATCACAGTTGCAAGAGAGACCTAACGAAGGAAGAATTGATAGGCCAAGGCGAACCAATTGATAATGAAACTGCATAGAAATACAAAGCTGAATGAATTTTGTATAGGCAGCAAGAGCCCCAGGCTCACATGCTCCCGTCCCACTGTTCCCACCATAACACACAACAATTGTGTGCACCGCTGCTCCTGGTTGAGCAGTAAGCAATGATTTGCCTCCCAACCAGAATCGCAGTTATAGCACAGGATCCAACTGTGATGGGCAATCCCAGTTTGTAAGAAAACTACAGTCTATACCTTGTGACCCACACTACTGCCCCCCACAGTTAAGCCTCCCCAAACTTTCACACAAAAAGTGGCCCCATCAGTAGCTTGTTCTGAAGCTAAATTTGACCTGTATACAGCTCCACGGTCTTTATGGAACAGGCTGATGTGGATGCTTTAAAAGTTTGGGCACTCCTGTGGTGCAAATAGGGAGGCCTAATGGCCCCCAGACACCCCAAAGTTGCTCACCTTGGTGAGCACAAACTGCATAGGTAGAGATGGGATGCCTTTAAGGATAAGCAGCAATCTTATATTTATTACTGTAAAAAGATGAATATATCCTAGTGTTCAAGGCTATTTTTCTGTATTTTTCTTGAAAGGTTTATGTTAATATGGTATACATTTTGCAATGTTTTTCCCCCTCATAATACAGTCAAGTCTATTCTTGGATCAAATTTTATTCTGAAGATATTAGAAAATTGATTTGTCTATCTCTTATACAATACAAAATACTGCATAGATGTTATAGGCTTATTTTAACTACAATTAAAATAGTTGCATAGGTTTCAATAAAACTGCAAATGAATGTTTGCTATTACACCAGGAACAGACGTTTTTAATCACTGCATCGGAGGGGTGGAAGAGGTTCAGTGTTATAATTTCTTGTTATGACGAAATATTCTTCCAAGAAGTTTAGTTTGCAAGCTTCATCACACTAACCCCCAAGGTCAGATTCAGCATTCTTATTTTCTGTAGGGCATGCAGGTCATGGAAAACAAGAGCCACCTACTGGACTGAAAGGGGATTAATAATAAGGCTGCAACTTTCCTTTGCCTAAATTCACACTGAAATAGGGATTTACTCCTACTGAGTAAGTATTATGTTTGCAGTGCAGACTTTTATCTCTCCTCTGTTCGATGACTATGAACCTTATTAGCTCTACACAATGCAATGGCCTCCCTTCATATATGTCTATGGCATTGCTGCTGTTACGTTCCTTGAGTCATCCCTCACTTATGGTGACCCTGCGAATGAATGCCCCCACAGCCCTGCTCAGCTAGTATAAATTCAGATTTATAATCCTCCTTCCCTTTTCTATTTCATCCTCACAACAATGCTGTGAGTACAAACAGAGTTGGCTCCATGGCTGAGTGGGGACTAAACTCAGATCTCTCGAGACTCAGTCCTGCACTCTTGGCCACTACACCACACTGGCTCTCAATGAGAATTTAAAATTCTCTTGTTCTTAAATCACCCCATTTCCTTGCTCCTCCTCATTTTTCAACTCTTCTTCAGTTGTATGTCCCCTTCCTATTCTTCTGTATCTCCTTGTTAAAGCCACGCAGTAGCTTGGTAGCCTTTTCCTCCTCTCCTGGTTATCTGGCTTCATCTGCAGAATTGTGTTCTCTTTCACTCTCTTTCTTTCTGCTGCTTTTGTTCCTGTGGGAAAGAAGCTTCTCCAGTCTGACATTTCTCCCATGCTTTCTTGGACTGTCGACCTCTCCTTGTGCTGAACTTTCAACTCCCCTTTGTTCACATTTCTCTCTTCACATGTCTTGTGTCTCTCTGACTGTATACTTCAGGAAAAGCTCTTCTGAGTTTTTTCTCTCCTATTATAAAATGCCAAGTGTTTAGGCACTTTATCAGGGGTAGCAACCTCTGGTCCTAGGGCCCCATTTGGCCCCTCTGGGGTTCCGTAGAGGTCTATAATGGTTTCTCCTGGCCCCGTCTCCTTCCCCAAACTACAGAATGCTTGGGGCTTTCCCAGCTTTAGTACAGTTGTTTTCCCTATTCAGAAAAGTTGACATGCCTTTCCTGAGACTTAGTTATTGGCAGTACGGAAGAACCGGAAACTGAAATATGCTGATTTAGGCTTTTTTTGGCCCCATCACTGGTATAAGGCTACTGAGAGCCTCTTTGTAATGGCATCTGGCCCTCTGGATCAAGGCGTCTCATCCCCCTGCCACCCCACCACACACGCAGAGTCACTCTTCCTGTCATCACATTCACTTCAAGGGAGCTAGTGACAGCATTCCTTAATTTTAAAAGTCAAGTTCCTCCTTCTGTCTACTGATCAAACACTTAGATCAGCCTTCCCTAAACTGGGGTCCTTTAGATATGTTGAAGTAAAATTCCCATCATCCTCAGCCCCCAAAAGTCACCAAAAACTTCACAAGTCAAGCATGCTGGCAACAGTAATTCCTCATATGTATTAGAGGACTGTCAGCTTTGAAAATAGAGGCTGTTTTCCTGAGCCTCATGCCAAGCAGAAATCACTGTCAGATCTATATCCTTGACCTAACCTAAGCTGGCTAAATCAGATATGCTTTCAATCTTGCGGCAATGTAAGTTTGCCATACTCATAGTGCATTTTTCTCCTCTTGTGAATTCATAGTAGTTTATTCTTGCAGTATCACAGAAGGACCAGTAATGATGAAACTTGTATATGAAATTGCAATCTAAATACACTATACATTTACTTGTAGTTGCTTGGATTGCTAGGAATTTGAACAGGAGTGAGACCCTTGCAAAGGTGGCTGTCAAAGACACAAAAAACTTAGAAAGAAAGATCTACATTTTTTCTACCTAGAGAAATTCCAGGATGAGAAAATGTGGCAAAAAGGCAGCGACCTTGTAAAGGTTATGTGTTTTCTACTCCATTTATTAAGACAGCAAATTGCTATGTTCGCTGTCAGGCTAGTTGTACTAGTAGTTTATTAAAGGTTCATTCAATCGAATTCAACACAGTCCAGTTATTATCAAGAACAATTGTCCTGAATCAGAGTTGCTTACCAAAAGCTCTTGCTGTTTATCAGAAGCAGACCGTCCAATCATTTTATAAAGATCCATCAGGTCTCCCAGCATCCCATCCCCTAAGACAGGCAACTGCATGGCGATGGCTGCCAAACAATGACACATGAGAATCCTGGCAGCATCTTGCGCGCTGTGCAGCTGTGTCAACAAGGACTCCACAATGGACTGGCTCAAAAGAGGGCGACACTTGGCTAGCTTCACCATGCAAGTGAGGGCTATCTGCATTGAAACAAGCAACTCTTTTCAGCATTTGTCCCAAACCTGTTCCCTCTTCGTTCCAAACATTCATTCACCCTTCATCACAACATTTATGCTGCTAAGGAGCTACAGCGTAAAGTATAAAATACAGAGGCACATGGCCAAATCAAACCTTCATAACTGCAGAACATGCATGGAGAGATCAAGAGGAACAATTCTAGCCACCATGGACCGATTTCTATAGCTTGGACAGAGAGCTCGGAAACATACTACTCTTTTACCATCTACCTGGTCTCTGGGTCAGTTTGGATCTAATGCTAAATCACAGTTTCCTACGGCATTAATGTGCCTCATGCTCCTGGATCCCGCCGAACTTCTCTTCCTTGGGCCAGCCATCAAAGAAATGGGAAACATCTGCTTCCTGGTTTAAAGCTAACCATGGTTTCTCATTACACCCAAAGAAGGGCAAACAGTAGTTTGTTTCAATGATTTCCTGAAACGAGACAGGGTCATAAACCAG